GCGAAATCTATCGAAACGTCTCCAAGTTGAAGTGGTCGACAGAGATAGACATAAGCCACGCCTCTGTGCTTGCAAAAGAGGCGATCAAGAAAATGAAGAAGGCGACCACCAAGATTATGAAGAGATTGGAGAAGGCTCCCCTGGAATCTTGCAAGGCAGAAGCCACCAAACACCATGACGATCATGGAGGTGATGACCATGATCGTCATGAGGGGGAGAAGAAAGCTGAGCCAAAGAAGTCTTCTGCCAGACCACTTAAGATAGTGGACTCTACAACTGCCTTGTTCTCAAAAGGCAAAGAAAAGGCACCAGAGCCTAAAGGCAAAGGCAAAGTCGAAAGAGAAACGTCCACGAGTACATTCAACGCTCTGCAAGGAACCGTCAAACCTATTCTTGCATAGGGGTCAACCCAGAGGCCRATACTTGAAGAAGAAGAAGCCAAAGTGCCAGAGTCCGCCACAGTAGGAAGGGTTTCTGAGATATTCGAATCAATGAGCAAGATTCCCATGCAACAAGTACGCACAGAGCCTGTTACTACTGTGGAAGAGATTTTGATGTGGAGATACTCTGTAGTGGGCACAGAGCCCCCTTATGATCCAAAGCTCACAGGTATTCCTTCTGCTGATGCCAAGTTCCAGTTCTCTAAGCTCACCAGGCCACGTGAGCAAGTTTTCTCAGAGCACGTGATTGTGTCACTTGAAACAATTTCTCCAAGGACCCTGCTGAAGAGGAAGGTGCTCTATGTTGAATACGTTGTGAAGAGGGATGACGGCAACCTGTACACGTTCACAGATGCTGATCTCCACAACCTCTGTGTATTTGATTTGATCTTCTTGGACAAAATACTTAACAAATACATGGAGAGGAGGTCAAGCTATGCTCTGTCGCTTAGAAGGCTTATCGAGGTCATGCGTGCACAAGTGAAGTACTACAGCCAGAAGGACTTCGAGATAGCAATAAGGTTAGCCCAGTCAGATCTTAAGATCACCCCTCCAAACAACAGGCCAGGATGGATACTTAGGTGTCATCCAAACTCCATTGTTCACAACCCTGTTTTTGGGTTTGTGTTCTTGGATAAGGATAACATCCTAAGGTTCTTYATTCCGACATAAGCAAACAAATACTCCACAGAGACCCTTGAATGGRTATTCAACAAAGCAGTGGCAGAAGTGAACAAAGGGCATCTAAGCAAGGGTGAAGTGTCTGGCATTCTGGAAGCTATCAAAGTACAAGTCAACTTCAGAGAATGGATCTTCAATGTCTACAGAACCATCAAGACTGACATGCTATATGMCGTAGAYRACTATCCAGACTCTGCGGTTGGATAAACTTCTGTAATAGTTTTGGCCTAAGAAACACAATTTTGTAATTCTTTCCTTATGTAATTCTTTTCAGAGGATGAATTTTTTATCTCCTCTTGTAATTCTTTCAATTAAGTCATTTCTTGCTTTAAATTGTCATTTTTTACTTTTTCATACTTAGGGGGAGATTGTTTGCTCTCATATTTCACTTAATGTAAAAGTATGAAAAAGTATTACTACAAGTGATGACAGAAGGGTTCTTTCCACAGAAGACCACAGAGGACCAACAACAGAAGATATACAAAAACGTACAAGTCAAGAATGACAGAACCTCTGTTGTCTCTCACAGAGGTTCTGGAAACTGATCCTCTATCATCAAGTGCTTACAAGTCATATCCAGCAGAGCCTCTAGGATGGCTCACAGAGGGTCTGTAGTTAATCTTCTGTGAAGAACCACTTCTCACTGCTTTACTTAGGTTTGTTAGTTGCTCGTGCTTAACACGTGACTATGTTTGTAATCCGCTTTATTTGAACGGCTTAGATCATTTCACTTGTTTAGGTCATGTCAGAAAAGCCGTTAGGAATTAGTATAAATAGCAGCTTAGGCCTTTGTAATTTGGAGCGCTTCAGTATTGTAATTGTCAATATTTTCAATAGAATTGAAAATCATTTGAAGTTATTCTCTCGTGTTCTTCATATTCTTCATATGTGTTCTTGATTGATTAACTACTCTGTTTGTTCTTATATTGTTTCCGCTGCACTGTTATTGTTCTTAAAGATCATCCAAAGTATTTGGTTAATATCATAAGCTGAATCTAAAGGTCCTAACACATATCTCATCATGCATAAAACAAAAAATACCCCAAAAAAAATAATATGCATATTTGTTTCAAACCCTTTTTAAATAATAATGAGATCTCTTAAATTCCCGTCGGGTTAGGGTTTTACCATCATCGACACTCCCCGGGTTATACAGTTCTTCCTTGTTCGATCATCCATCTCTAGGATGTGTCATCCCTTATGACTTTTGACCCATTCCCATACCCGACAAAATATTAATCCGTTTGTAACATGCTAATTAATGTTTAAAAACACATAAACAAATAGCATGCAACCCATAATAATAATTCATATACATGTATCAAGCCCATAAACATGTACATAAGGCTAACATAATGCTCAAATAATTTGTACATAAGCATGCATCCCAGTTAAAGTCTCATGAAGACTCGCCTTAATAGCTCCGCTTAGCTAAACCTCGTCCTTGAGTAATACTCTATGACATGTAATTATATTTCCATAATTAGAGTCCTGACTTTTCCCTAAAAGTCAACCCGAAAGTCAAATGGGTCAACCCTGGGGTTGGCATGATCAACGGGTCAACCCCAATCATACCTCATCGCCATGTAGCCCCCCCCCCCCCTAATGGAATACTTCACGTCCAAAATAAATTACAACATATTATCCTAACATTTAATTATATACGATTCTCGTTTTAAAAAGTCCGATTCCATAATTATCTAGTCACAACTACCGAAATAAGTTACTAATTATTTCTTATAATTTAAAAATGAAAATCCAAATAATTAATATTCTTTATAATTGATGTCCAAATCTTGACCAACTTAATTGAAACATCCTGATTTATTTTGATTAATTCAAGTAAATAAATGATCCTCAAATCTCTTTTTAATAAATATCGATTTTATCAAAATGACTCGAGTCTAGTCGTACTCGACCTAAACAAGTCGTCCCCAGCCCAAAACTTGGTTCAATGTTGGCCGCCCCAACCTGGTCGCACCCTTGGTGCGACTATCGTGAACGACTTCCGTTTGAGATCGTTTCCCGATCATTTTTCACCAACATTTTTACAAAATCTTATACATAATAATAATCTCAAATCATACTCAAATTTACAGCCCATACGGTCCATTATTAAACTCATATTGAGTTTTTGTACCCGAATCTCATTGAGGCCTCACCACAGCAGCTTCTAGCCCAAATTGCTCGACGTACAGGACACCATATCCCATGATACTTATACCAACGGGAAGGTAATTGAAAAACAAAGCCAACCATATATTATACATCAATTTTGGTTGAGTATTTTACCTCCAATCGTCGTTTTTGTGCGGAATGACCCTATTTCATTCCAAACTCGATATCTCTTTCGTTTCTTGATGAAATCCCGCAATTTCAAAGTCGTTTACTCTCTTATACTCTTAGGAATGTCTCCACAAAATTTCATTCAAAAAATCCAATTTATAGGGCATAAAACCTGTCCTTAAATCACAAAAATATGGTTTGGGAATTATTTTTTCAAATCTCAATCATTTTCAAATCATTTTTCCTCATTTGCAAGATCTAGTCCTTCTAGTTTTTCTTTTTGAATTTTCATCCCAAATCAATTAAATACAAAATGTTATATTTTTTTTACTAATTTTATTTATTGCAATAAAATCATATGTTTTTGAGTATCAACACCTAAATCCCGTATGTCATTTACTCTTTCAATTTTAGCCCTTAACATTTATTTATTTTATAAATCATAAATTTTAGAGTGTTACAATATATATATATATATATATGTGTGTGTGTGTGTGTGTGTGTGTCCGCATATATACAAAGGAGTTATATAGAAATGGAGAATAGATTGAAAATATATGTATATGAAGAGGGTACGTAATGGTGTAATTGTCTAATGGTCATTAATGATTGTTCTAACTCGCACCAAATAAATCTATTTTCTGGTTGTTGCAGTTGATTACTCCAATTATGCAATATTAATGCATTGATTTTACTAACTATGATGATATCAACAGGTGTTCACATACTTACACCCTTCGAACATGAAACGGAGTACGGTGTCGGAGAGTGCTCAAATGGAAGCAAATATTTTATCTCCAATGTTAATGACGAGCTTAAACCAAAGATCAACGCACAATTCGTATCTATAAATAAAGCAAA